ATTGGTTCAGGGTTTTAGAGCTTCAGGGCTCTAGATACAGCTGAAGAGCTTAGAAGCTTCTAGGATGTGCTGTGAAGGCGATAGGGCTGCAGGAAGACGTGTTTCGCCGGACCCAAACCCTCAGCCCCAGAAACCTTCACTAGCCCCGCAAGAATGAATGGACCGTGGCAGCAATATCGAAGTAGCCACAGCAGTAAAGGCACCGTTTAACATGCTCCACAAGCCTTTGGAGTGCTGAAAAGCTCCCCACACTGCAAGCAGCCTGCTTCTACCGATTTCTCATGGAGACTGCGGGTTTAGTTGCCCAAGCGCAGGATCTCTTATCATTGCAAAGCATCAGCTTTGTCTTTGGCCTGTCTTCGAGATTCAGCCTGTCACTTGTCACAGCAGTTACTTCATGAAATACGATCAACCACTACTACTACTACTGCTACTACTACTACTACTACTACTACTACTACTACCACTGCAGGCATTACCATGACCAGTACCGCTACCACTACCACGACCACCAGTACCACCACTAATACCACCAGCACCACGACCACTACCAGGACCAGGAAGAGGACCCGTACCAGTACCAGTACCAAAACGGCCGAAACTACTTCCACCACCACGACGACCACCACCACCACCAGCAGCACCACCACAAAAACTACCACCACCGCGACCACGACTGCTTCCACTACCGCGAACCACTACGACCACGACCACGACCGCTACTACGACTACGACTACTTCAAACTAATACTGCCACTGATACTGCTGTCAAAGCTACTGCAAATTACCACAACGGCTGCTTCCACCACCGCCACTACCACTACCACTGCTTCCGACTGGGAGCAAGAAGCGAGACGCTCAAACATCATAGCGACATGCCGCTGTCGTAAACCTAGCGGACCTAGCGAGTGCTCTCAACCCTGTGGAAGACAGTCCGAAAGTAGCGTCGGTGAAACGTGGCGTGAGCGCCCAGATATGTTGTATCGGTTTATCTAAGACCCGATGGGGAACCGGGGGTGCTTTCTTGTCGAATTTTTCTGATCATGATTTTCTACTACTCCCAAACCGAGCTGCTTGTGGTTTCGGGGTGTTAGGGCTCCGGTCGTATCGTAAGTATCTACTTCCAGCCTGTAACCCAACCCCAGCTAAATTCCTCGCGCTGCAGACTTTTGGCTTGGGCCTATACAAGGGTCAAAGTTGTTGTTGATTTAGGGGTAAGGGTTCAGCCTGGCCTCTGCTTTAGGTTTTTGGGAAGCGCTTGAGGACCCAGTTATGGGGTTTAGGGTAGCAGCTCTTTCAAGACATTCCGACACGGTTCAATAACATTTTATTACTTTGTTGCCATTCCCATACTGTAGTTAATGACCGTACTCACAAATCTATAGATAAACCAAATGCCCACTGGGTCACTGGGGTTCCTCCCCGCAAAAGACCGGGATTCAATTTGGAATGACTTAGCAAGGGTTCCATTTAAACCTCAGCAGGCTCCGCCTAATTGACACCCTAGGAGATCCCGGCTAAGAAAGCGTGAACTGACGAAGACCCTGAACCTGACGGTTCTGGGAAAAGCAGTGCTAGGAAGTCGGGCGATAATGCTGAAAAAGGGCTTCCCATGGTCTTAGGGGCTGAGTACCCTCGTCCAAAACAGCTTAACCTTGCAATTATGGTAGGCTTATTTAAATTAAACCCCAAAAGGTCAGACGTGCACGGTTTCGAAATTTTGATTGCTGGGCCATCAAAGTTTGAGTTCTGGAAAGATGAACATTCGCAACACTAAGCCCGAATACTATGGCACCTCGTGTATGGTATAATACAATATAGTCGGCTATAGAAGAATATGGTCGATCTAAACAGACTATGTTGGATTATAGCATCATCTTGTAGACTTTTGTATTCCGATGTGTTACATTATGGTATAATGTAGTAGGTTGTTATAGCTTAGTATCGTATCTAAGCAGTATATAGATCCACATATCGGGGCCCTCAAGAACTTCCGGTAGCATCCGGCCCGAGCAATGGCCAGCATGCCGAAGTCCTGCAAGAAGAGGCGGCCCGTAAGTAGGTGGTAAGTAAGACTTATAAGTACCATAACCCCAATTAGGGTCCCTTTTAGGGTACTTATAAGTCTATTTACTACCTACTTACTAAGTCCCCCGAAACTCCAAGTACTCTCTACCCGCTGAGTAAGAAACCCTTGGGCCGTTTTGTAGGGACCCTTTAAAGAGGTCTATAAGGGTAACTATAAGGGATCTATAAGGGAACTATAATACTGTAGGAACCCGATTAAGAAACTTTGGGCCTTTCTTGGGGTTCCTTGTATGAATCCTACTATGCGTGAGATTATATGCTTCGGTCCTACCTCCGTAATTTCCAAAAAAACATGCTAGAATCAAGCATACACTCTACTAAAGGCTAGAATATGTGGTATGAACTTTATCATACTACAAGATACTATCACACATGCGAAACTATACCATTCGTATACATTCAGCGCCGTGGGTGGGTGGGTGGGTGGGGGTACGAGGCTGGCGGCCCTCTTCGAGCTGTAGATTTTACCCTGCCTCCATTGCTATTTTCATGGTCCTTAGCTATGTCTTTACCCGACGCGTACTCGGCCCAAGTCCCCACTGGAAAAAGTCCACAGGGTTGACTAGACGGTATCTAGCCGTGCTAAGCTGTTAGCCTGAGAATCTTCAGGTTATCAGCCGTAGTTCGCTCCGTAATGGATATCGTGCCGTTCATAGCGGCCGCGGGCAACAACGTGGACGGTGGTATTGGTCGTAGACAGGAGCAGGAAGCCAACCAGTACTTCTTGCAGTTGTTGCAGGAGAATGCTCAGGTGAATGTGTTCTTGAATGACCCCCGCATTCAAAGTGCCTTGGAGCTTCGTGCGGAACAGAGACACCGCTTCGCATTGGACAACGTGTACGCCGAAGCCAACGCATACATTGCACACCTAGAGGCAACTGCGGATGCGAATCATCGTCAACAGCTAGCATTTGTGAGCCAATCAACACACCTGTGGGTGGGGCAACTTCACAACGAAGTTCGAGTGCTAGAGACAATCGCCCGAGCGGAACGACAATCAGCCAACGAGCTGCAGGCACAGCTGGCACGCACGCAAAGGGAAAGTCATGATGAAAGGTCTATGGCTATGCAGCTTGATGCACATCGATCCGAGCTGGAAGCAGCAGCACGCACGCTCACTGCGGAAAACAGACAGCATGAACGCCGTTTCGCGGATTTGCGCGCAAGTGTCGAGGAAAACCACAGTGAGCTCATTGCCTTCTTGGGGTCTGAGTTTGAGGAAAAGCTTCAATGGGAAGAGAATGAATGCTACCATAGGCTAACCTCTGAGGCACAGCAGTACTAGTACGATAGCTTGGTTGACGACCTGCAGGATCGGAATGCGGTGCTTATAGCTGAGGTCGACTCACTCAGGTCTGTCTTGTCGACAGCGGAGAGTAGCCCACCGCAAGGTGGTGCCGTGCCGGTGAAAGTTGATCCCAGTGAGAGCTCCAAGCTTCAACCAAGCCCACCGCAAGGTGGTGCCGCAGCGCCGCTTGTCCAGGGTCCTAGCCATTCATGGATTCCGACCCTTCCGAATCCCAGGGAAATTCCTGCGCAGCTTCGGACGGTTTTGGGAAGGACCCAACGGTATGACATTGGTGAGCCTGATGATACCAAGGCCCCCGGCGTAGAGGTATCTACTGCTGAACAGAGTGATAACAAAGAACCGGCAGACACCACTGAAAACAAAGAGCCTAGCATCCTCCTTGCTGAAGCACTCAAGTCAGTTATCCAGAAACCTGATGATGACAAACCCAAGGCTAAGGAAGCTGAGACTGTGAAGCTACCCGACTTCCCCAATCCGGAGACTTACAGGAGCTGTAAGATCACCGTTAGGGAGGCAGTTCGGGCGGCATCAGACAGACCCGATGAGGCATTCAAATGGGTTCAAGAGGTTTACTCGAGGGACGCCGATTCGGAGAAGTTGAGGGACACGGGTAAATTCCTCACTTTGGACACGAAGATACTTTCGGCACTCTCGAGGGTCGCAAAGGGTGATCTTGGGCGACAGATCATAAACTACAAGGAGTCTGAGGCAGCTGCAGGTAGGGCCGTTCGTGGTAGGCAAGTTCTACTGATGTTCGAACACTACTTTAAGACCAATGAAGAAGCAGGTTCCCTCTACTCTGTGGAAGATCTTCTCAAAGTCCAGTTGAGCGGTGACGACCTGAGCACGTTCATTCACAACTGGGAGTCGGTCATCGCGGGATTGAATCACCAACCCGAGGAGACTACATTGAGAGATATTCTACTTCGGCAGCTTCGCAATTCTAGCAAGCTCAAGTTTGAGCTGGAAGTCTACGACAGGGCTAAGGAAGGAACAGAGCAGCGCACTTATGACTACTTGGTCAAATGCGTTAAGGAGCTGTTGGCTAGAGATAGGACCCGCAAGAACAGAACCGCAATCGCCAAAGCTCATGGTGCTAGGTTTGGTGCCCCTGCTCCTTCTGACACCCCGAACACCCCTCGCGGCAGAAGCCAGGACAAACCCTGCTTCGCTTTCCAGCGTGGGAAATGCCCACGAGGTGACAAGTGTCCATACAAGCATGTGAAGCCTACTCCAGAACAGACCAGGGGTAGAACACCTCCACGAAGCCCTTCGAGGAAAGGCGGAGGTAAAGGCGGCAAAGGCGGGGATAAGAAAGACACCTCCAGGATCCCATGCATTTTCTATCCCAAGGGCACCTGTAAGAACGGGAAGAACTGCCCTTTCCTTCACAAGGACGCGAGCCCCTCTGTCCCGGCCAAAGGCGATAAACCGGACAAGAAGCGATCGCCCTCCGGCAAGCGCAGGCGACCTAGCAAGAAGAGGCCTAAGAGCGAGGAGAAGACGGCTGCGTGTTGCCTCTCCCTTGCAGCCACCCTCACGGGTGAGCCCTCGTTCAGTGCTGGGAAGTCGGGAAATCAGGTATGGTGAGAAGTTCAACGGCATGCGCATTCCCTTTGGAGCGAAAGTCCTCTATTGGGCCCCGAAGAAGCAACGCAAGCCTGAACGATCCAAGTTTTCTGGCACAGGGATTGAAGGTATATTCCTTGGGTATCACATCCAACCTGGTTTTATCTTCAAGCTTGAGTACGTTGTTGCTCCCCTACACAACATCGAAGCCGCGTTGGAAAATGAAGACCTACGTGTGTTTCGCACTAAGAGACTGGAGCTCCCCGATGGTGACTTTAAGTTTCCTTTGTTGCAAGAGCCTGCCTTGGATAAACCACTAAGCCTGGATGCACAACATCACAACGTCCTTGACAAGCAAAACCCGCATCCTCCTCTGGAGGAAGGGGGGGGATACGACGAAGCCACAATTCAGGAACAGCTTAGTGAAGACCTGGATGAAATGTTCCCAGAGCTATTTGGTCCTGATCGTGATAAAGATCCTCCGCCGAAGGACGCGAAAGAAGCCACCCGCAAGGGTGAGTCAAAGTCTGATTCCCGTGCATCATTGCTTGATGATGTTCCTTACTCTGTGAAGCAGAAGCTGAAGTCAAGCGCAGCAGTAGCAGCGCAAGAACCACCGTATGGTTATGTGTGGAGTGGGGAATGTTTGGTCAAAAAGAACAACAGGAACCGCCCCAACGCTATTGATCATACTGCATGGAAGTCCATGTCGAAAAGACAAAGGGCAACAGCAATCGCAGAACATGAGAAGAAGCTACATGAGGAGAATGAGGCACTGTACCGCGAAGCCGTGAAGGTGGTACCTGCAATGCCAGTCCTACATGGGTGTAGCGAGGAACATCGGGAACGACTTAAAGGGCTATACGACAAGAAGCTTTTCCAGATCGCAGATGAGATGTATGCTGTTGTCGCCAAGGTCCTGTCGTCTAAGGAGATCGCATCGAACCCTAAGGCGCAGGCTGCTATGGACAAGGAATGGCAGAAGTTGGTTGACAAAGGCTGCTGGGTACAAGGCAAGGTTAGGGAGTTCGAATCGGTTGCCAACGAAGCTAAGAAATCTCAGAACAAGGTACATTTTGGCAATGTTTTTGAGATTGGTACCCTAAAGGGAGCCGAGCTGAAAGAAGGTGACCCTAATCGCAAGTATAAGGGACGTTCGGTGTTCCAGGGAAATAAAGTACTTGACGAAAACGCCGATCACGCGCTCTTCGCGGAGATGTCAAGCAGTCCCGCATCTATGGAAGCGGGGAAAATCCTAGACGTCTTCGGCTCCCAACCTGGCTATGTTATTCAACAGGCCGACGCCAAGCAAGCATACACCCAAGCCTTGTTCCAAGGAGTTGCCACCTGGGTGAGATTGCCTCGCAATCGCTGGCCAAAGGCTTGGCAGGGTATGAAAGATCCTGTTGTCCCGCTCAAATTGGCGCTTTATGGACACCCCGATTCAGGGGGGATTTGGGAGCATCACTGCGAAACTGAATTGAAGAAAGTTGGGTTCGAGGCGGTACTGACGGACATTTGGAAGAGTGTATTCTACCACCCGAAGAAGAAGCTGCTTTTAGTGGTTTACGTCGATGACTTTAAGCTCGCTGGACCTAAGCACTCTATCAAGGAGGGATGGGACCTTATTTCGAGTGTCATTGATATGGATCTTCCGGAAGTTATTGGTAGATACTTTGGGTGCATGCACAAGGAAGAACACAACCTCAAGCTGCCCAAGGAAGCACATCCGTTCCATCACGTATTTGAACCCGAAGCTTCAACTGCAACTCCTGCTAGAAAGGAAGACTATTGGGACATTGACCCCGAGAATCTCCTAGCAATCCGACATCACCGCTACCCTCGCAAGAGACTTTATGTCCCCAACGAGGATGATGCTAGAATGTTCCCGGGGATTGGACCTCGGCGTTACACGGTGGTGGCTAAAGCCACCCGCAAGGGTGAGTCGGAGGAAGTTGTTGTTGACAATTGCAACCAATCGCGCGATCGCTGCCTCCAGGATTGGTGGGATGGCGAAACCTACTTCGACCTCGCAGGCCGGGAACAGTCTGATTTCGAACTGGCAGTTGCAGCTACCCGCAAGGGTAAGCCGGTTCGTAACAAGTCTGAGGCTAAGAAAGAGGCGAAGCAAAGCAAGTTCATCTCCCCTTCGCAAGATCAGAAATCGAAGCCTGGTGCAATGACGAAACCAGTCACACGCATCACTTATGACATGAAGGACTTCCTTGATTCTTGTGTCGAGCGTTATTGTGAGCTTGCCAAAGTTGAGCGCAAAACCCTGAAACCAGCTGCGACTCCCTTCCATGAGCTCCGTGTGGCATTGCCAACGGCATCTGAGGGGGAAAAGGCAGGGCGGTTGCAACCGATCGCAAGTAAGGTATTGATGAAAATTTTATTTGCTGCTCGCATGGCAAGATGGGATCTATTGAGGGCAACGCAGTCTTTGGCGTCGAGGGTGACCAAGTGGAGTTCAGATTGCGATTTGGGACTTCATAGGTTGGTTTGCTACATCAGCTCTTCGCTTGACGTCACAATGAGTGGTTTCATAGGTGACAGCATCATGGATTGCAGACTTTGGTCGTTCAGTGATTCCGACTTCGCGGGTGAGTTTGACTCAAAGTCAACAACTGGGTGTGCGATGTTCTTGGTTGGTCCAAACACGTACTTCCCACTCAATGCCTTTAGCAAAAAGCAAACTTCGATCACAATGAGCTCTACTGAGTCCGAAGTCGTAGCGGCAAACCACGGTTTACGTGCCGAAGGTCTACCTTGCCTGAGCTTGTGGTATTTCCTCTGGCGTGGAGATGCCGGCCGCAAGGCCGAGCCAAGGGCTGAGAGGGTAGATTCGATTGTTGCACGCGTTGATCCTGAACTTGACGAAATTCGTTATGGGTCCACTAGACCGGATGGGTTGTCGATTGCAGACATCAATGGCCTCTGTGTCCAACTTCCTGAAAGTTTCGAGGTTAGACATATGGAGGATAACCAGGCAACTATCACTCTTTTGTTGCTAGGGCAAGCTGGTGTTCTACGACACACAGATCGGACACAGAGGGTGAGTTTCTCATGGCTAAAGCAGCAATATGAGGTTGGGCATTTCAAGCTACTGAATGTTGGTACAGCTGAACAAGTGGCGGATGTATTCACGAAGCCTTTCACTGAAAAGAACAAGTGGACGCATGCCTTGAAGCTTATTGGACATACAACCAGCGCGAACGTAGCCCGGTGCAAACCCGAGTCGAAGGTCGAGGTCGGCAACAAGGTTTCGGTAGCAGCAGCTCCGGATGCAGCAAAGACCGTCGAGGACTTCGCTAAGCAATCGTTCGACGCTAACGATTACAGTTTCAAGACCTTCGAGAAGCTAGCTGGGCTTATATGTACCAATCTCAAAGCATCATTGGCAAAACCGCGATCGTTTATGGCTTCTGAGACGATATCCAAATACTTGGTATTCGGCGCTTGGGTCCATGGTGGGTGCTTTGGTATTACCAACCGCACGAAACATTACCCATGGTTTTGCAGGTATGTGAATGAATTTGTTAAGCGATCATCTCCGAATGGGTTTACATGGACTTCGTTCGTGTTCAACTTCAATGGCAAGGCCCGCATCCACACGGATAAGTACAATCAGAAAGAATCGTGCAATCTGACGTTCTCCTTCGGTAATTATACAGGGGGGACACTGTGGATTGAGGACGCGAGCCAGTTGGGACCACCGGGAACATACACAGATGATCATGGCAAAGACCACAAAGGCTACAACTGCAACACATACCGCAAGCCTACTCTGTTGCATCCTTCAACAAGACATGGTGTACAACCCTACACTGGCGAACGACATTCTTTCATCGCCTACTCGTCAGGGGGGTACCAGAAGTTCAACAAAAAGCAAAAGCAATTCCTACATCAATCACAGTTCCTCTTGCCTACGGCTCAGTTGAAGCTCCCAGCTCAGAAGGCAATGGTTTGTTTGAGGTGTGTTGGTTCCCCTCTCGATGAGGGGGGTAGGCTTAACAAACCGTGTTCTCGTTTCGAAAATGATTCGTTTGCACGCACATCGCTCGAGTGCACAAACACACAACAAACTGCAAGCCTTGACCATGAAATCGTGGCTTCCTTTATGTGCACGACTGCCATTGCAACTTCAGCTGGCTCTGATCTTCCTGACTTGCCGAAGCGACTTCTACGATCCCCAGGATGGCAGCCATCGTTGTGAGCGACGAGTTCTGCAGGGTCAACACCTCCGAGGCAGACAGGAATGGGGTAACCAAGGCCATGAAAACCCTTCTCCAAGCCGCCGCACTCAACAACGATATCATTTCGCTCGGCGCCGATCACGAGAGCCAGCTCTTGGAGTCGGCGTACAGCTGCGTATCCACCCAATGCGCGGCTGGGGTGTCTTTGACCCATGCCGACGCGACCTGTGTGGCGCTGCGCCAGATGGCTGACCTCAGTGACGAGGGACTCGCCAAGTTGAAGCCAACCGCAAGGTTGAGCCCCAAGGCCAAGCGAGCCATCATTGTCGTGTCAGACAGCTCCACCGCACTTTGCAAGAAGAACAGACGGGGAGTGTTCGTCAAGGCCGACTTGGATGCGGAAGTGAACATCGCAAGCATGACGCTGGGATGGGCACAGACTCGCTACACTATGTGTTGGGGCAAAACCTTGGCGTGGATTGTCTGGCAGGTCGAGGAACACATCAAAGAGCTTCGCGCCAACTATCCGGGCCACACCATCGACGTGATTTGCTGGTGGTGTGGAAACGAGATTTCCGGCCAGTGGGGCTGCATCAGACGAGCAGCAGAAGAGCTAGCTCCAGTGCTGGTCCGAGAACTGCAAGAAGAAGATCAAGGCCTTGACGCGTTAATTGAAGAAAGGTCAAGACTTAGTCGAGACAGAGGAGAAGGCACAAGTGAAGGAAGAAGGTTCAGGGCACACAGTGATGAAGTGAATGATGATAGAGCAAGACTAAGGCGAAGGATCCAGGCAATAAGCTCTACTATGACAGGACCTGTTGATCCGGGAACACCGGACAGTACAGAGGCAGCAACTCAAGGATGAGTGCGGTTTAAAGAAGCAAAGAGAGTGAGGGCGTTTACAAAGACGCCCAGCAAGGCGAAAGTGAGGCTGAAATCAGCCAAGGCAAAACGTTTCACAAAAAGCAAAAGTCGCATGAGACATTGCGGCAGAAGCCACGAGGATGGAAATCCCGCGGCAATGCAAGAAGCCACGAGGATAGAAAAATCCCACGGCAACGACAAAAGCCACGTGGACGAAAGTCCCACGGCAACGTCAAAGCACTACGAGCACCACGATGAATTCAAAAGCCAATGTTTACAGAAAGGACTAAAGACAAAAGTCCGACAAAAGTTTCCAGATTGCCGAAGGGCAAGGATGGACTACGACTACCTTGCGTACAGCGACGTACAGAAAAAGTGAGTGTGCACGTAGCGACGTAGAGTGGAGTGAGTCCATGCCAAATGTGTGTGGAAAGCAAATTCGCAAATCTGCTATAGGACATCTGAAGAGTGAGGATGAAGACCAAAGGAAGAAAAGGATAAAGATGTTCAACAAGTGCTCAAAGAAGCGTGCGAGAAGAGAAGATGAAGGCTCACAGGAGCATGCGAAAACGGTGGTAGAAGTAGCACAAGGATTAGGAAAAGTTTCACAAGATCGTATTACACGACAAAGCTGTGTATACGATGAGGGCGTAACAGAATGTTCAATTTTCCCTCATGCCCGATTTACCGCCAGTTTCACTGCGTATCTCCGTAGGTCAAACGTAGGCTCAAGACAGCCTGACAGCAGAGCGAGTAGTGAGAAAGGATTCCGAAGCTCGCGCCGTGCTGTAACAAGGATACTGGTTTAAGGGTTTAGACTTTCATGTTCCCATCGGCTTGACATACCTCGGTGCATTCCTCCCTCCGCGACTCTATGCTGAGGCCGCAGCAGTGAATGTCGCTGCAAAAAGGATCCTGACTTTCGATGGCGAGGTCTATGTGTCGGCTACCACAATTGAAGGCATCACAACTGAGATCGGCCAAATCCTTACCGATAGCCTCCGTAGTGCTCAGATCCAGACAGACCAAACGGAACGCTTGGCAGAGCGCAATCGCCAGGCTGCAGTCCAGAATCGCCCATCCCAAAAGGGACGCGGTCGCACGGCAGCACCTGAGCCGATGTACAGAGGCTATACTCAGGCCCAGTGGGACGAGTACTATCGCCAGCGCCGTGGAGGTTACACTCAGGCCGAGTGGGATGCATGGAACCGCACCCATAGGCGCTGAGTCCTCATTTTGATTTGCTTCGGACCTGCAGGGCTTCCCCGTTGTGCTTTATATATGCTCGCTTTGGCAAGTCTTTCACAAAACGTTGAAGCCCAGGGCAACCTGGAGCCATGTACTATCCGCCTTAGCTTGAGCAGCACGGCGAGGGGGGTGTAGATTTTACCCTGCCTCCATTGCTATTTTCATGGTCCTTAGCTATGTCTTTACCCGACGCGTATTCGGCCCAAGTCCCCACTGGAAAAAGTCCACAGGGTTGACTAGACGGTATCTAGCCGTGCTAAGCTGTTAGCCTGAGAATCTTCACGAGCAAGTCTTTAAGAAAGCCTTGGCTGGAACAGTCTATCCCTAAGCGCTAACCCGTTAACCCTGTGACCCCCACATCTCTTGGTTCAGTCACGAGCCATGAGCCCCTTCACAAACCTTGCGTTGTCTCTTCCCGTACCCTGCGGGGCCTGCCTTTCATGAGACTTGTTCATCAGAACAGGTCCATGACAAAGTCGCCCACGTCCTGTGCGACGCTGACCCTGAACCTGTAGTTCAATAGTATTCCCCAAAAGTATTATTCATAGGACTAGAAAACAATACGACCCAAAACCCCGTTCTCATCATCCAGGGACCATTCCTCAACCATGTTTTGGGAATTTCAGGCTTTGCAATGTCATTGACGCTTGACTTGCAGCCCAACTGCCCGGAATTCATAGCTTCCAAGCGCGGGTGTGGGGTTAGGAGTTGGAGCCTACGGACAGGATTTTGAGGTTCGTTGAGGGGTTCTAGATTCAGGGTCTAAGTTGGAGGACTGCACGTCCTTCGAATATGCAGTTCCGAATCCTAAAGCGTAAACCCTACACCGCAAAGCACACCCGGCCCCTGAACCCGCCTCAGGCAGGTAGGCCTCAAAACCTTAAGTTTCCGGATTCTCGATCATGAAGTGGGAGTTTCCGACAATTAGGGGGTCCTTATGATAAGTTATAACAATAGGGATCCTACTATTTAGGGTAGTACATTAGGGTCCCTTGTTTTTGGAAACTCCCATGTAACAGGCAAGGGAGAACCAGTCCACGCGCGATGTCGCTACTAGTCACGGATACCGATAAGGAATCGAGATCCTCAACGCTAAAGCCTGTCCAGACTTCTTACTTCCCCCCCAATAAGCCACAGGACTAAAGGTTAAACTTTCCGGTTACGACTACTAAACTTTAAACTATAAAAAACCACCCCAACAAACCCTAAACTTAAACCCTAAACCGTGAGGCAAGCGGAATTTGAGCTCCCCAGCCTCAGCAGCACCACTGATCCACTCCTGGCCAACTTGATGCGCAGTGCGGAGGCTGCTTGTTGGGCATAGGGTTCGCCTAATATGATTTCTTTGCAAAGGTCCTGAAAAAGGGGCATTCCTTAACCCTGAATCACCTACCTTTTTAGGGTTCGCTTAATATGATTTCTTTGTAAAAGTCCTGAAAAAGGTCGGTTATTTGGGGTTGAGGAGGTTGGGTTTAGGCCTTGAGGTGTTGGGTTGAGGGTTTTTGGTTTCAGGCTCTTGACGAAAGTGCCCTTGCCTAGTCGTTGATATCACTTGGACAGCTCGTCTGATGCAAGCCGTAAACCCACGATTCATCATGCGTCTTGTGCCCGCAAGGTATTGCAGATCTTTCTTGAGCTTTAAAGTTCATAGTTGAGATCAGTGGGTGGGGGTTTCGGTGACAAGACTCTGGTCACAGTTGCGAGGAGTGGTGGGCAGAGGAGTCATGCAAGGGCCATGTAGCTAGCAGGAGGAAGGAAAACACTCACACGCAATGAAGCTCCCAGCACCAGTTCCGACTTCAAACCTGAGCCCATGACTTCAGAACTGTTCTGCCGCAAGCACATCTGCATCTACGGCTTGAATTTTCCAATGCTTTCGGCTCCGAAAGACCCTAAAACCTAAATCCTAAACCTTAAACTCACTAAACCCTAAGCCTTGATAATAGGAGCCGCAGGAGCAACGAACAAATTTGGCCGAGCTGCGCCAGCGTCCGTGGCGATGTCTCCTACAGCATCCTCGGTGCAGAGACAGAGAGAATGCAGGCAGAGCTCCTTTTAGGGTTTAGGGTTTAGGGTTTATGGTTCCTGCAGTTCCTGTAAGGGCACCTTTAAGAGGAAAACTAGCTCTGGACACAGACACCTGAAGAGCACAAGACTACAGTTTTCATCAAAAAGCATCTTGATCTGCGACATCTTCGGAACGCTTGAAGCCACACTCCCTGCACACCCCAAAATTCCCTACAGCTACCACCCCGATTCAGAAAGACGAAACCACTAAGACCCCAAAAGCTGCAACCCGAAGCTTGGGTTGCTAGGAACCTGGAACTTGAACCCCCAAACCCAACCAGGGGTTCACCTTGCGAAAGCGAGGAGAAATCTGGGTTTCCGAAATTAGGGGACCCTGAATAGTTGGATCCTTATTATAAGGACCCCCAAAATACGGTACCTGCGGAAACTCCCAACTGAATTAAGCAACAAACCCCCTGCGGTCCCATAAGGCACGTGCACTTAAATGCAGCAGCCGACATCTGAGCCTAAGCTTCTGGCGGCCATGCCGATAAGGATACCAGGAAGCATATCTAAGAACAAAAGCCAATACGAGCTGGAGTTGTTGTCACGGCAAGGATGCCTCGTAACCCAGGAAAACAAGGGCTCCGTTTTTGGTATTGGTTACCTTTATAAGGAACCTAGGACTACAAAAAGGGAATAAGGGTAATACTGGGCATCCTAGAATCCTAGAAGGTGATTTATCCCCATGAGCCTGATCCCTAGCACCTACAACCGGCAACTTGGGCATTCCCAGTGCAGATGCCCCAACAAAGCCTAGACCGAAGAATAACCTAGTAATAAAAAGGGTACCCTTTTTGGTTTAAAGGGGGTTATAAGGGAACCTGAACCCCAAAAAAGGGAATAAAGGCTTACTCTGGGTCCTAGAAGCTGTATCAGCGGGCCGTGGAGAAGAGTTCCAGAGTACGCTGCCGCTCAGCCCCAAACCCTAAACGCCCGAGATCCCTATATAAACCTTAAAACCCTAAACCCAAAACTGCTTGTTTAGGTTTTTAGCAGGGTTTAGGGCTTGAGGGGTTCAGGCGGACAGCTCAACACTCAACGGCCGGCGAATAAGCCATTCGGTTGCCAAGGCACTACTCCAGGTCTGGGAGGTCACGTGACGCTTGCTCCTGCATCGTCTGGAATTGCAGACGCCGATGAATTGCTTTGAAAGTTGCTTGTTGTAGGGTCTGTTAAGGTAGTCTTCGCCCGCCGGCCTTCCGCCTCCAGGGTGCCGTCGTCATAGCCTGCATGTCTTTGCTCGCTTTCATGTCCTACTTTGCTTAACACCAAGGCTGTAGCAAGCACCTTCTGCATCTTCTTGGCCTGCAACAGCCGATGTGTGGTTTCTTTTGATGTTTATTGCAGGGTCTAATAACGTAGATTTCACCCGCAGGCCTTCCATCCTGGAGGCGGTCCAGCAGGCTCTGTCGGCACAGCCTGGATGTTTTTCTTGTTCATGTCGTTCCTTCTTGGTTCAACACCAAGGCTCCGGCACGACGCTTCGTGCCCGTGCCCTTGCAGCACCGGATGTGTTCTTTCATGGTGTCTGCTTCTCGCTCTCTCTCTCTCTCTCTCTCTCTCTCTTTCTCGTTCTTTCTATGTTTCTCTCTTGTCTTTCTGTTCCTTTCACACCTAGCCGAGGCAGCAGCTTCCGACTTGCCGAACTCCTCAAGCACCTGCACCGGTTCTCTTTCTTCTTCACTCTTCTCTGCTTTTTCACTTAGGCCGCCGCGGTTGTCGGAGTGGCAGTCTCGTGAGACGCCTAGGCTCCCACAGTATCTCTATCTCTGTCTTTTTGTTCGTTTATTTTGTTTCGCAGAGGCCGAGGCTGTGGCTAGGTTTGCCAAGTAAGTTTGCCAGGTCACCTTCGTTGCTTCTGTTGTTTTCTAACGTTCTCTTTTTTATACCTATCTCTCGTTTCTGTTAAAGAGACAAAACAACACAGCAGCAGCTTTTGGATCGAATTTAGTCTTTATTAGTCTCTACCTCTTTCCATGTTTCTCCAGGTATGTTCTTTTCTTCTATGGATCAGTGCTTACGGCGTAAGGACACCGCTAAGCTTTTATCACCGGCATTGTTTTGATTGTCACCACCCCTATCTTACTCTAAGCTGTGTCTACATATTTTTATGCCGACAGAGCTGCTGCCTTCTCGCCAGAGCGGGCGGCGATCTCGTTGGTCTGCTGGATCTGCTTCTCCTATGATAGTTTTCAAGACACAGAAAGCTCACACTCGAATACTGAATGCTCTTGCCTTGTCGCCCTCAGACTGCTGCGGGGAAGCCTGCAGGTGGCGTTGCTGTTTCTCTCTGTCGTAATCTCAATCTATCTTCCTCTCTCTCTCTCTCTCTCTCTCTCTCTGGCTCTCTCTTTCTCTCTTTCTCCCACCCTTTTCTTTGTATCTTTATCTTCTTTAGTTCCCCTTCAAATCAAATCTAAGCAAGTTCGCCAGTGAATTCCTGCGGTGGCTGTTTTTGCACTCTCGATCGTTGTCAGTCCCTGTCTCTCTCTCTCTCTCTCTCTATATCTCTCTTGTTCTCTTTCTACCTCTGTGATCGTGCTTGAGAGCCCGACCAGGAGCAACGAAGGTCGAAGGACCTGTGTTCGGAAGGCCCGCAGTTCCTAATTTTACGTGATGGTTATTGGGATCCTGGCGGGAACTGCGGCCGTCCCGCTGGCAAAAGCCTTCGGAAGAGTCCACGCCTCAATCTGCGATCAAATGACTTTAAATAGTTTTGAGCACCTGGGTGTCTGACCATCGTGGAGGGCACACTCCAAGCCGTCCCCACAAAAACACGAGCCGTGAACGCTAAATGGGTCGGCCAGCGGAGATGTTCTCACTCAAGCTTCTGCTCATTGATTGGTCGGTTGCTCTGATACGCACATCTATCCCAACTGATGAAGTACTTGAGGCTGCCAGGCCTCCACGGATTCTCACGGTAGTCTATAATCCCTTAGCAGTCTGTCGGACCGGATACTTCAGGAGGTAATCTCAGCGGGCGAGGAGTGATAGCTGACTTTAAAATCGAACAACCCCGCACCAAGGGTGCGGAACAAATAATGGTGAGAGTTGCTCAGTCCCATCTGAAAATATTTCCTACATGTAACTATAGTGCTGGAGTTTGAGATATATAGTTAGGATTAGCAAAAGTTGACTTCATAATATGTAAAAGTCAACAAAAGACTTTGTAACTAAGCAAGGGTGTTCTGAGAAGAACAGATCAAGTTTAAAAGGGATGACATCCCCGAACTATGAAGAAGCAATGAGGCTGTCAAAATGAAATCATTAACGCAGTGGCTATGAGACAAACACGAATGATGCTCTCGGAATTACAACACCAAACAAGTAACAAACGAAAGATAAATCTCTAAGAGTAGAACACAAGCTTTCTCTGCGTTTCGATATCACAAAACAAACGTTCATGTTGGAGGATCGAAAGTATTTTCATGTGCGATTGTGTTTACTAGGTTTACCCATGAAGCTTAGCAATCATATTACATAATCGTTTTTATCAAAATCTGCCAAGAAACATAGTGTCTACATGCGGCGAACTCCAACGTTTTCCACACTGCCGTGGACGTAGTTTCCGTGGGATTTTGGCATCCATCTATACATTATTATACCGTCGCCCTGGACGCACGAGCGGATTCAGAACACGCAAAGCAAAAGGATGACGCCTCGTACGTTGCCTTTTGGGCGGATGGGGTACACAAGAACTTGGTTTTTTGAAAGTTTTTCTTGTAGTGGCTTTAGGAAGTGTACGAACTGACCGCTTGGCAGCCTTTCGTTGTACCATTCCTGCCAAAAGTGGTCTCTTTCGAAGAGAACCTTGAGGTCCTAGCGCTTTGCACCAGTTCCTCCAATCGCGCGGCGTCCATATGTCCGCCATGCCGATGATCCGATGAGCCATCTGCTTCTGCGTGTTCTGTCTTTGTAATGGGTGATGCAAGGAAGCATTGTGACTGCTAAGCTTCACATAATGGAAAAACTTGAGCTTAATTTCGAGGGTTGGCCGATACATGGAAACCTTAGCTCCCAGGAAGATTCAGCTTTACTGAACAACCGACTAACAAAATGATCGACATCATAAAGAGACAGCCAAGAAACAATCTCGCGGAACCAGCTGTTGATCTCATGGTGCAAAGACTCATTCGATGTAGTGCCGCTTGGAAGCAAACATATTTGCGACATCTTGCATGCATGACGATATCTGGTGTCATTGAAGAGCCATTGAATCTTGGCCGGAGTGGTAAGATTGACCAACAAGCGATGTAACGTTGGCCCAGCAAACGTCGTCTTGGTCATTTCATCGGCGAAAAGCGAACAAATAGCTGCCATGGATTCCAAGAACTGTGTTTCTGTTCGATAAGGCACATCTGGGTCCTTTCCTCCCAGAACAGCTTTTGCTTCGATCTCGGACATGTCTTTGTTGACAATCAAGCCACTCAAACGTTTCTCTTCGGCTGTGTAGGATATTTGCTCGACGCCAGTGTACATAGGTCCCCAGGACTCCGCACTGCAATCTGGTATAACATTTCTGAATTTGTTCATCACGGTTGCCAACCACCTGCTGCCCTTTGTGCTCCTGTTGTTATGATTCTGCTCGTACACCATTACGATGTGCATTGCGTCCAGGGAAAGAGACTTCAAATTCGGACAAACTGTCTTGAGGTTAGCTAACATCTCAGGACTAGGACAGTCACATGCAATGTGCGACACTTGCAACCGCTGAGAACTGGAAAACGAAGAGGCCAATGCGTCGGCGATGAGGGCGGACGCTTCTGACTTGATGCCACGCAGCGCTAACACCGCATTGCTCCGTCCACGCACAGTCAAGAGCTTGTACACGGAGTTCATGTCGTCTATTGCAGCCGCTTCCCGATCCTGCTGACTCTGGTTGAACCGTGCCTGGCCCAAAATCTTCATCATACACTTTACTGTTGCGTCGATGCTCATATATTCGAACTCGCTCTTGATCTCACACTCATTTAGAAGATCATGCATTCTCGCTGCCATGTGCGGTGACTGCATGAGGTCTTCCATAATGCTGCACCAGAATGAGTGACTTGCTTCTGGCAACAACGAACTTAGCTGCCCTCCCGAACGAGTGGCAGAAGTTGTAAATGTCGCAGCAATTTGTCGAAAAGAGCATCGACTCGCTACCGCGCTGCATAAAAAGGCATTCGCAAATGAGCGGTTGTAGTACACATTGCCAACTCGACGAAGATTCTGTGATCGTCTGACCGTCTGACGCACGTAGTTGATATAAAAAATGGACCGTTGGACCCCATGCACAAGCGGCAACACGTGTCGATGATGTTCTTTCTAGACGAAAATTGTGGTTTCACTTGCTGGCGCAACAATTCAGCAGAGCGCTGCAGGTAGTTGCCAGGTGTTTCGTTCCGTACAGCGTCATCATCGTACATGGACGCAATGATACGAAGCTGCTTGGTTCCAGACGCAACAAAACGCTTCGATACGGAATGATGCTTTCTGACATGTGTCACTAGGAGACACCGTTTATCGAAACGCCTCCATGGACATAAGGGACACACCTGAGATGGAAAAGCTGAACCTTTTGCAGTCTCCAAAGATTTCAGCAGGTCCTTCACCTCGGCTTGGAGCAAGTCACGCAGCTGGTCACCAACATCAACGTTGGCCTCGGCGTCTTCAGCTCCTCCGAGCAGATCGCACTGCGGCAAAGGACCACCTGCCACCAGATCCAACACTTGCTCATCTGACGACGCCATGATTGGCTTTGCACTTTGTACGCAAAAGAACACAGTGCTGAATCCTTCGCAACATTCAGAGAGCATGTCTCGAAAAGCATCGACTGTCAGCTCGAAAACCTTGCACTCGTAGAAGATCTCCAGCCGCCCATCTGCAACCACTTTGACAGCGAAGCAATACGGGCCGAAGGACAAGTGTACGTGAACAAGGAAAGGTAAGTGCACCTGCTTCAGACGGCAGTGTAAAGCTTGGCTTCAGGTAGTGTTTGCCGTCTTTCAAATTCCAGTCTCTGTAGCATCTGTATCCATGTTGAGAAGCTCGTGTGTTAATTCGATCATCTGTCTGCAAGATCCCTGCTACGAATGTCCACTGATCCGTGAGGTAGGCATAAGAAGATGCTATGCAGTTGCGAGGTTGCAGCAGTGTCTCCCAAAGACTTGCGTCGATAGTCGACACACGCACAGACTCACTTTGAAATGCAAACAACATCTCCTGCAGTGGCTTGAACTTCTTCTCACGGACAACGATGCAAAAGCCTGTGTGCCGCAGAATCTGAGCCTGAGCGATATCAACAAAAGCTTTGTTCTCGTGCTGCTTTTCCACTGCTTCCACTAGCTCGACAGACAAGAGGACACCGTCGAAGTGGAGAGAGACATGCTTGCGCACAGCATCGACATCAGCCACTAAGTCCAACAGACTGCTCAAACACATGTCCTCTGCGGCTTGCCACCAGTACGCAAAGACAGTTGCCTCGGGCCAGTTTGACTTGCTGTAGCCGTTCTCCCCGTCTCTAACGCTCTGGTAGATACCGACTCTCTGCAGCCAAATCCGTCAAAAATCGTAAGCCTTCCTCAGACACATTCGTGACCGATGAAACAGCTTTCCCACAGGCTACATGTAGAAGAATAGGTTTGCCTTGGGCATGACTGCAGCAAAGCACTTTTTCGCAAACATTCAGTCTGTCCTTGGCCACTGCACGCCAACATGGCAAGGCTGGCAATGTCTGATGGAAAGAAACCTCGAGCTTGTCGACCAGCTGAACAACGATTGAAAACATACTTGCATGAAAATCGAAATCTCGAACATTTGTACAAGCAGCGTCTCGGAACACTCGTGAGAAAGTCTGCGCACCCACACCTTTCGATGTACGTCGGCAGCGTATATCCGACTTATATGTGTAGGTGCACTGGACAGCCAGCTCACGCACCTCGGCATCCTGCGCCCACAAAGTCTGCAACGCCAGCAGGAGGTCACGCTCTCGTGCCAAATGTGCATCAAGCGCTTGAACAGCTGCATCTTGCTCTTCTTGCTCCGCACGCAAACTTTTTTTAGCTGTCTTATCTCCCTGCTTGGCAGCTTTCTTCAAATCATCCACTCTCGTCCGATGAGCTTTGCGAAAGACGACTATGTTAGCAAGACGTCCTTTTTGAAGGACCATGCGTTGGCGTAGTCTCTCGCAGTCATACAGCTCCGGAAAAGTCATCTGAGCATGATGGCCGAGAGTCACAACTTTTTCCCATGACTTCGACGATGACACCCGTGGATGAAACGTGTCTGTAAGACCTTGCTTGTGGATATGCCAGTTGCTTTTGACCATGAACTCGTTTTCGGAAAGCGCTTTCAGAACTGGATCCGCGTCTTGACGACTGAATCCAGTCCAGGCATGCTTTCCTTGACACTGTTTCATTTGATAGGCTGTACACCAGTCCTTCGCTGCTCTAATCATCCAGCTGACAATTTCATCGCTCTGCTTTTGCAACACCAACGTTGCAGCCTTCGCAGCGGCCGCCTGGGTGAGATCGCTAGTACCTTCTGCGGGCTTGGTACTGTGAGTTCGAAGCTGAAGTGCTCGTGGATCCTCTGTTTGTTTTTTAACCTTCAGGCCACAAGATTCTCGCACACAGCTCTCCGTAAGGCCTTCATCCATGCCACCGACTACATAATTTTCCAAGATGTTTCTGCAATCAGCAGCGCTGTGGTCGCGTGCAAACTGCCACATCGTTCGTAAAGTCACAAGACATGCCGGCTTCGAGCGTAGGAAATCCTTCAGCGTCGGGTCCTTCGGGAAGATGCCCTGGCTCTCGGCGTCCGGGATTTTTTGTTGTATGTACTCCGGATCCATAAACAGAGCCTTATAACGAACAGCCAAGGATCGTCGAAACATGGAGTCGAAGGTCTCCTCGTTGACACCCACGAACCTGAAAGCATCTTTGATTGCATTCAGCTAAGAGTCTGTTAACTACGCTGATAAAGACAAGCGACCTTGGCAACGTGTTGAACTCGAACCGCTTCCAACCTCGGAGTTCCACCAAGTGCGTCTCTATGGCGTAGGGCATGTGCTCCGGAAGCTTATCCACAGACATGTGTTTCTTGTACACGTCTTCTCGCATGCCCTTCCGGCTACCTTGCACAGACTCCTGGCCGGTCACGACAAGTTTCCCTAGCAGAGAGGCAGCCTGTTTGCGCATTTCTTCATCTGAATAGTAGATATTCATATCCAAACATGAATGAAAACTACCCAGAATGGCTTCCAGATGAGCAGTTTGCAGGCTTTGACCGACGCCACCAGAACCCAGGCCCCAAAAAGCGCGATCGACATTTTCTCCGCGCATCGCCAAAGTCAGCGCTGCCATGAAGCATCTGAAGGCAGGACGATTGTTCCAGTATGTTGTCTGCCAAAATTTGTGCACTCGCATCTTGACGTCGGCAGGCACAGGATCCAAGATACGATGCGGCAAAAATACGTAGATGTTGTTAGAGCCAGACTTCCGTACCTGACTCATGCCTTTGCCTTCATCAAACACCAAACAAATATCCTGGGCGCAAAAGCCAGATCTCCGAGGATCCTCGAGGCAACACCATTATCCACATAATACTTGATCAGATGATCTTGCAGCAGGGAACTTTGCCTCGGTAATTTCCAGTACGGCAACATATCGACCACTAATTAATTCGAAAGCACAAAACCTGCAGCCAGGACACAGTTTGACGTATAGTTTGCCGACGGTACTCGCCATGACTTCGGTCCATGGCTTGTCGTCTTTCTCCTCTTCTGACACATCCTCCTGGGCGACTGCATTCGCTCGACGCCGTTTCGAACTAGCAGGTCCACCGCAGATGGCAGCTCGTTCACAGTCTTGAAGAAGCAAATCTGCTGAGTCGTTACGGCAATGTAACAAAGCCGCTACTGCGTTGATAATGGCATCTGGAACACGAAGTGTGCCAACAGGTAAGAGTCTGTATAGGCCTTCAAGAAAAAGTAGAAATTTCTTGCATCGTGCTAGAACTCCTTGAGGGACCACACCATTGTAAACAGCCCAGTGGCCATGCTCACTCAGAAAGAAGCACTGGCCATTGTAGGCTCTTACGTGTCGCGAGCCTCCTTCAATTGGCTCTAGAAAAAAGACTTCTTCTCGACGTGAGATGTCCAATAGCCGCAATCGATGCACACAAATAGCTCCTTGTACAACATGTTGTAATGAATCAGGCCATGAGCTGGATTGAGGAGACAAGGCGACCGTGCTCTTCACTTCTGATATCTCAAAGAGAATGTTGCCTTCTCTCGACTGGCAGACATCCGGGACCATTCCTTCCATCAGCCTGTTTTCATCAACATGTAGCAACCCTTCACCTAGGTCCTGCGAGTTGACTTTGCAACGTTTAAACGGCGGAGCTTCTGCCGGAGTTGCGACCTCAGCCTCCAGCTCCTGTTCCACCCGCTGTGTAAATGCTACATCATCTGATACATCATCAGGATCCGAGCCGCCAACACGATCGGAACTGGCGTGATTACCGCTTTCCCTGTTGCGACACCGCTGAAAGGTCATAATCGCATTTGCTTCCTCTTGCATGTCGGGAACCATGTCTACAAAGATTGCGTTCTCGGGATGGAATGAGACAACGTACATCGCTGACACCTGAGCATCGCAGTAATTCTCTAATATCCATCTATAGACATTGAGCTGCAAACGATAGTGCCACAGAGACGCATCGTGAACATGCTGAATTGGAGACTTCATGAACTTTCCAAATGATGCATGCTTGTCCTTCAAGTTGCGAGCACGTTTCCAATCGAAGAGGACAAGTGAACCGTCTGGTTCACGTGCTACAAAGTCAATAGAACCTGCAACAGACTCTTCCGAAGCATATATTCTCCACTCTGTCCGATAGGCACAGGCACTTACAATGCCACGGTCAGCAACGAAGCGTAAACAACTTGCAACCTGCATACTGCGAGATGAAACGCAACCGCCATTCAGAAGACACTCTAACTGGGCATGCATCCAGGTGCCTTGCGCTGCGCCAACTCGTCGCATCTTGGCCCAGTGTTGCATAATTTCAGCGCTTGTCATACTGACCATGTCAGCGACTTCCTTGTGTATCGGGTCGCTCCTAATCATTTGCTGTACATGTCTGGCAACAAGATCCCGATCATGTGGAAGAACTTGTAACAAGCCAACAAGTTCACCTGTGCCTGGCAGGCTTTGCAATTGCTGTAGAAGATCCAGTGAAGCATACGGCTTAATATAGGAAGCTCGAGGCCAGTTACTGCCGTGTCGCATGCTTAGTATGACTTCTTTCTCATTGAAGTCGCGAGCAAACAAATGGATGAGCCCAGTAACTGACACACGCACGACTTGGTTCTTCCAGTAGTAGAGATGGCCTACTTCCTCAAACGTCAGGTGGCGGTCGCGTTCATGACTGTGCAAGAAGCTGAGATGATCAAGTACAGGAGGCAGGGCGAGATGCTCCACGTCGAAGGACTGAGGCTTTCGATCCAAAATCGGTCTTGGTAAACTCGGAACCATCAACTCGAAAGGCAGCACGTTTTCCAGTCCATGGTCGTACAAGGAAGTCAGCCCCGGCGAGGGTGAGAGTGCGGGAATGGTATCATACTGACCAGTGGCCACCAAGCGGTGAATGTGGGATTCGTAGTACTCGTAGTTGTTTTGGTCGATTGCATTCTCAGGAATACGCTGTTCAAATCGGCAACAGAGTCTGTTAAACGAAGCCGACCGTCTAGCTGGACTCCTCGACCTGATACGACTTTCAACTTCCCACACCTTATGTGCTAGAGAGCTAATTGCATCAAGATCGCAAAGAACTGCAAGTTGCTTCCTTCGTAACGCTTCTAGTCTCTTCAGATCGATAACCGACGGCGCTGCTCCGCCTAAGCGGTCGACAAAATACAGTTCGTCCATGAAGCCTAGGCAGACTTGCACTGCAGTGAAGCCGTGATCGTCGCAAAACCATCTCTGGCAGTCGAGGCAGCAGGCACTGGCTTCGGTGGAGCGACGACAAGCTGCACAAATTGTGCAGCCAGGATTTGGCATCTCTCGCGGCCGCCAAAACGGCGTTGTAATTACAGTCAGCGGCGGACTTTCAGGAGTTCCCAGGGACACAATGTAAGGATAAGCCCAAGAGTTAATAATTCGCGCTGGACTTGGTGTGTCTACGTAACACAGTGGCTCGTCGTCCAGAAACACAGCGAAATACGTGGAATCCCATTCCAACGAAACAAGAAGCCAACGGACACCTCTGTGAGCCGGCAAATTACATGGAACCAAGACTTCTGGCTCATCGGAAGTTGACAATAAAGACAATTCACCGAAGGGATTTTGAAGCGTTGCCCACATTCTAGACATGGGCGGGCTGTTGTGGATGAGATTCTTAATCCCGAAAACCAGCACTCGAACGTCGGAGGACACGGAAATTTCCATGCTTGCACGTTGATAAACAGGATGCATGGCACGCCAGGAGCGGAAATTGATGTCTCTGCGAACATGCGTTTGTCCAGCCCAGTGGACTTGGACGCCGACTGTAGAATCCAGTGGCACGACTTGCATGTGCCGGTATTGTACTTTCAGTGTCTGTGCTTGTAGAAGAACGCGCATCAAGCGCAGCAATGTGCTGCCAGGTCGAAAAGCACGCGGCCTTGCTTCTCGTAGATCAACTACACAACCTTGTAGCACCGATTCCGATTCTAGCAAATCACACATGGCCTTGCTGCACAACCGCACATGCAGCATATCCGTCATTGCGGTGACATTGGTGACAACTGCAACCTGAAGAATATGTGGCAGACTACTAAAGTCGCACGCTGCGGATGCAGACCCACCTGAAACATCATGGTGGTGCTCCGTGCGACACCTGGCAAATCCTGGCTGAACTGTGTCCTCACAGACCTGGTGACCGATGCAATATGTGTACACAAAAGCTTCCGGCTGCAAGTTGAGGGAGGAGCGTCTGACGCAGCGAATCTGTCTGCCGTCCACCTGCATGCTGAAAGAATCTTCCTGCCAATCCAACACGAAAGTGTGGACAGGTCTGTCCGAAACAAGAAACGGACAGGACACCTCGGCCGGGAGTTGTTCAGAATTACAACACGCAACCGAAGTTCGACAGTTCTTTTGAAATGGAGCGACGACCGTGCAAGAGCATCGACTATGTTGCTCTACATCAAAGTCTCTGTAACTGGCTGAGCCACTGACACCCAACACAATACTGTGCAGCTTGCAGGTAGCCGATATTACCACGCAAGCACGGCTTCTCATCGGATTCGTCGACCGCAATCTGACGTGAGCAGTCGGATGCATGACGTATGCTGCAGTATCACGGAAAGATAGCTGCGAAGGCAGGCTCTGCAAATAACCATGATTGTCGCTGATCCAGGAATCGTTGTTGACAGTGATATCGAACAACTCTGAACAAGTTGCAGCAAAGTAAACCAAATCTTGTGTTGCGAGATGTTGCAGTAACCATTGTTGGGTCGTTATACCAAGCGACAACAATGAGAATGTCAGCTCCTCTAAGGGAGGATGTACCAGCAGACCATAGACACGTTCTTCTCCCATGTTTGCAGGTAAAAGAGCTAGGACACAGCCTTGAGGTGGCACTGCGCGGCAGATCTCCAGTTGCAAATCGAATGGAAATCTCGCTGTGAGTTGCCAGAATTGTGCGGCCATCATAAAGCGACCCGGCCCACGAACAAAAAAGGTCGCTGCACTTTTAGCGGATAAGAAGTTGTTCGACATTCTCTGCAAACGATGATTGACTGGCATGTATTCATGAACGTGACCATCTGCTGTCTCCTGCACAATGAAACCATTGAACGATCGCCAGTAGTCTGGGAGAGATGTTCCACCTCTGACGTCTGCGTCAGCGGCTTTGTCTAGAAGCATGACGAACTCGTGGGCCAAACTATTGGCATCCGAAGTCGACAAGCCCCAACATGCAACGTGGTATGCTGGTAGATATACCAAGCAGTCTGCACGTTCGAACTGCCCGCCAAATCCAAACTTCCGCAGCAACGGTGAGAAAGGGTGCATGACATAACCATCCTCTGCGTGGCGATGCGGCGTACGACTCCGGCAGTGCAAATGCGTTTCTGCGGCGAACTACAAAGAACTTCCAATCCTTCGTGTACTGCTCCAGATGTGACGAGTTTGGGAGAGGAAGTGATTCGAATTGATCAGGAGGAAGAGTCACAGCCTGACAAATACAACTGCATCATCTCCATATCCTACTTAAACACTTACACCCAAGACACAATCAGCAGAAGCAATCCATCAACGCTGAAAGTAGCGGCCTGGTCCTTGTCATGCTTTGCTTTGGACAGAGCCTGTCATGCACGCGGAAACATACTACTCGACGACACATTGACATCACAGAAGTTATTTTTCGCCGAGACATCTATTCCCATTACTTATGAAATCGCAAACACATCTGTAATTATAAAAGTTGGCCGGCACCTGCTTCTCTCGACGACGCTCTTTCTTTTCGG